AGCCTATCGTTGCTAGTGCGGCCATTGGCTCTGAGTTCGGCATATTGACGCATTCGCTAGCCACGCATACGCCTACAACTTGCGACGCGGCGGACATGCAGCACTGCATGGCCGCCACGTCCCAAGCCTATCGTTGCTAGTGCGGCCATTGGCTCTGAGTGCGTCGTGCGCGGTGCGCGCCGTGTTCATGAATGCGCGGTGCACGCCGATGCTCGTGAACATGCCACATCCGTGCTCCGGGACGTAGCTCGACGTAGCTCGCTCGAGCTCTACGTACAGTAGTCGTATATTGATTTAAGGACATCACTTGTATGTATAGTAGGTTAGGTCAATGGATGATGATGAAAACGATGTACATATCATTGTGTGAAGCTCGACAGTCGCTGCATTATGAACTAGTAGTAGCGCTGTACATCTACCATAACGTCTGGTATGAGTATTTAGTACACCAGTTGTTTAGAAGAAACCTGTTAGCCTTGTCCAGAATGGTATCCGACGTCCAGTCTTGTGGTAATGATGCAGGTAAATCTACTGATGTGGGCTTAGGAAACTTGGGGATTAACTAACATGATTGACGAATTAGTCTCAATGGCACTATCTCCCCGGGCGCAGTCCCATCGACTCTCAATGGCATCTTCTGGACGTCGTACATCATGTGTACGGGGTCGGCTGAGCCAGGCAGCTTAGCATACCACTCCACATATGCCAAAGGACCTTCGTGGGCCCATTCCTCTGGTGCTGGCATCTCCTCCATCATCCCATGCCTACGTATCTTCTGAGGTAGGCGGAAGATCACCTTGACCCTCCCTATCCTTGTACCTAGAATTTTGTGCGTAAGCATACGTAGTGTAAGCACAAATATGTACTTTGAACTCACCTTGAAGTCCAGTTGCCTCCGCATTGTCGCCCTGTAAAACTATGACAGTGTCGAATCTCGCCGCATCTTGTCCACAAGCCGGTTTGGCTTTGACAACGTCTCGTTCAGGCTGAGTGTCGGTAAGCGGAATCGTTGTGAACTTGAAATTGTGGTACACGTCCAAACGAGAGAGCGGTAGGTATGTGCTGGCCCTGTCAAGCTCCGTTTGTGTAAGTCGACGGCCGAGTTTGAGAGAGTATACGTATTGGGACAGGGCTTTGGTGAACCCGCGAGCCTGATGTCTGTCTGCAATCAATTGAATTGGTTGCTGGACTACCGACGGATGCTTGGGCAACATGAGTCCGGTCCTGGGACGGTGCGGGTGGACTTCTGGAGGGACGCGAGAGTCGTCAGTGTTGCGAGAGTCCTCTCGAAGCCTCTGGCGCAGAGTCTCGAACATCGCTACTTTCTCCTGGCGTTCGAGCCACTTGACCATCTGAGGGCGTGCGTTACGATGGTTGGATGCTCGCCACGCCTTCTTCGCACAGTCGATGTGTAAGCGTTCGAACATTTCCGTATTATAGTTGTCTGTAGTACCGAGATTTCGAATGGACTCGATGTAATGATGAAGGGAATGGAATTTGGGGATGTCGAGGTGCTCACGGATGCCGAGGGTCTTCAAGATGGATTTGTGCTTATGGTAGGTCTTCAATGCGTTGTCCATGTACAATAGGGTCGTCTCGTCGTGCGTCGGATACTGCGCTAAGTAGATGAAATTGAGGAGTGCACGGAAGGTGCAAATAACGGCGTTAGGGACTCGACCTATGAGGCACCCCAGAAGGATGCGAGCCATGTCTTTGCGCTCGCTTCCGGACACCTGTGAGAGGGCGGAAATTCCGTTCTTGAAGTGTCGCGTTCCGTATGCGGGTGGAAGACATCGTATGCGTGCGTCGAGTTCCTTCTCGTCCATGAGTTCACTGCACCATTCGACGACGTGCTTGAAGACGCCCTGGTAGAGCTGGTGGAGGACGTCGGGGGTGATACACATGTGGATGTCGGTAAACGGTAGGTCTTTCCAAAACGGCTCGACGACATAGCCGGAGACATTGAAGTCCTTACACGCATTGAAGAACGGTGTCGATCCCTTCGCGCCTTTCGCCTTCGCCTTGCATAACACGTCGAGAGTCCAGATCTGGCGTCGTGGAGTCCTTGGTGTGGGTTCTCCAAGGCCAGATTCAGGGCATTGACAGACGGCGCAGGTCCCGTACTTGGCACAAGTGACCAAACACTGTTCCGGGTAGTCTGCGACGTACGATGCGAGAACCGGTGTATGCGGCGGACCTTTCCATCGCCTCCGGTGACATCGATTCCTGTCTTCCCTGCCTCGACCAACGGCTTCAGGATCATCTTGACTGAGCTGTGGAAAAGTTGCTGCATCAAAGCACGCTGCTTGCGCTCGGTGAGCCCTGCAGCATCCACCTTGTCTACTGACAAGTACCCAATCAGTATGCAGGCGTGTTCCGATGGCTTACGTCGCAGCGCCTTCGGAATGTTGCCGAGGGTCATATACACTGGGTAAGCCGATTTGTTGCCTGAGAATTGTGTGAGCTGAGTCTTATCTGTCGAGATGATGACAGGGGCCAATGCTGCGCCAGTAGGTAGGAGACTCTGCGCTCAAGGCTACATGAGTCATAGCCTTTGAATAATCAATACAATACTCACCTGTACGGCGTGCCACCACTTCCCTGTCCACATTTCCGAATAGATTCGATTCTTCTTCGACGCGTCAGAGAAAATCCAGCTTGGTCTATAAATGATTTGGTCGGCGTGAGCTGGGTTGCCCAGCAAAGCCTTGATGGCTTCAATAATGTCACGGAACTGCAGGAGGTGGCGTTCGCCAGGGCGATCCTTGAAAGATAGCCAACGTTCCTTCCATCGCGCACGCTCTGGTATGGAGTCGACTTTTTGTAAGAGAGCTCTCGTGTTATGGTACGATAGCCCCAGTTTCTCTCTGACCTGTATATACCATCAGACTCTCAAGTCGTGCTCACAGAAGTCGACAAATTCACCTGAGGTATCTCGAGAAATCTATCGATAGCACCCTGACTGACACCCTCCTTGATGCACCATGACGCGACCTCCCAGTCAGTTTCAGATTCGAATGGTTCCCATAGGGAGCTATCAGATTGGGTTGCATCTGTGTAAGCAATGCGTCAGACATGTATTTGCAGCACAGATGCATACATAACTCACCCGCTTCACTGAGCCCATCTGTCCCTTTCCTTTTGGAAAATGGTGGCGCCATGCCTCTTGAAAGGTCCGCCCCTCTCCCCTCACCGTTCCTGCCTTCTCATCTACGACCTCAACCCGAGTGTCTTCATCGTCATCGAGCGCAATAGCTGTACGTCGTGCCGCCGCCGCGGCAGACGTGGATGCTGCTGTTGCAGGACGACTTGGACCGGCCACAGGGACGAAGATAAGGTCTTGCTCTTCGTCGTCCACGTCGTCGTCCACGTCGTCGTCCTCGCTCTCGCTCTCGCTCAGATCTTGCTGCTCAAACACAGCATCTGGGCTGAGCGATGGTCCTGGTGCCTCGCTTTCACGTACGTCCTCGTCCTCGTCCTCGCCCTCGCCCGCGCTCTCGCCCTCGCCGTCTATTTGTGACGTGCTTGCCACTGGAATAGGCTGTTGAGAAGGATCAGGCGTTCGAGAACACCTTCATAAGGTCGGTGAGAGGACTATGACAACATGTACAGTATGTACACACCTACGACGATGACTCGTCTTTACTGTTGCACATCCTTTTTTTTTGCGTTCTACGCGGCGCACCTCATCCTCACTGCTAGAGTCGTCAGATTCATTGAATATTTGGCGTAGTTTCCCCTTCTTATACCACGCGCACTTGCGGCTTGTCGATTGGTGGGCAGTGAGGCCTTGCGTCGTGTCGAAATACTCATAGCACCCTCGCATGTCTGAGTGAGAGGTCCTCTAAGCTGCGAGGTCTCTTCTTCATGCGCGGTCTCTTGCCCTGTCTCTTGCTCATGACCTACAGGCCTGGTACGACTTCAGTGAGATCGTAATGACACAATATCAGATCAAACAACTGCTCACTGCGCTCGCAATGACCTGGTACTTAGCGTGATAATTGGTTCGAAAGAGTCCAGCAGAATTGCGGCGTTCAGACGCCAGAAACGCCACGAACGCCAGGGCGCACATGCATCTTACGTCTTGCTCAGGGTCACACATACTTGCTTCCAAGCACTCCATTCTTGACATTCTTGCTTTGTCTCTGCAACTGTGAACGCATCTCTGGAGACCATTGAATTCAAGACTCGATGTTCTGGTGCGTTTAGATTGACTGCCCTCACCGTTGTTCCACTCACCACCTCAATTCCGGGTGTGGTATGATCTCTAGAATGTTAGAAGAACGGCGCCTCAGCGTCTGCATGCCGTTCAATGCCCATTCAATTGGCTTGCCCTGCATCCTATACATCGACTTTCTGGACGTAAGTACACAGAGATCTTTTCCAACCTACCGCGCCCTACCTCACATAACAACACCCAGAACACATACCAGTTTTTTGGCCTCTGATCGCATTCCTTATTGGAATGAGTGCGGTGAGGCCGCACTCATCCCAGAAAGGAAAATGAGCGCGGCGATCATGTTCTCTGCAGACAGAATTATTCTTGAGGGTCGGTTCACTGTGCGTCATGCGTCAGAGGACAGATGATGTGATTCTTGAGCGCATTCACTGACCTGCCTGGACTTTGGTTCGTCGCAGAGACAGGTGACAATTGCGCGTGAGCCATGCGGATGAGATAAGGATAGTACCGGCCGTCGCATTAATATTGCACTGTGCCAATGATTTGTGGTGAGTCTGTGAATTGAGATAACTCCGGGTCATCGTTGCATGACCTGCGTTCGTTCTTCATGACCTTCTGTGCATAGGAATTCGAACAGTGCCCGCGTTCTATCTCACATGTGCATTCTGTGATTGACTGGGGACTGTCGGCCTCAGTTGGTGGCCGATTCTGGTGGCGCACATGAAAAGATAGGCTATGCTCCGCTATGCTCCGGATTGCACTTTACATAACGACTTCTTTCTGTCAGTCGGCTCTCCTCACTCTCGCGATTGCCTCTAACATGCCCTCGATACGCTACATTCACGGTCGTCGTCCCCACATTGCCACTGGCAGTGTGGACTCCAGTTCAGACGACAGTCACTTCATTGACTACGCCCACCCTGCCAGCCAACACTCAAAGGATCTGCCTACCCTCTTCGACCAAGACATCTGGCAAGGAGATACGGATACGGATACGTATACGCAAGGTAAGTCCCTACTGCATCTCCTAATCGATAGCCTCACCACCCCACCCATATTGCAGTCGCTCCTTTCCCCTCCTCACCGCCCTCCTCTGCGAGCGGGGCCTCTGCGAGCGGTGCCACGCTCTCCTCCCCAGTGCTTGAACCGCGCTACAAGGACATACAAGATCAGCGCGACTCCGTTCGGTTGTGGGACCTCGCCGATAAAATCTTCGGTGATTTGTTGGACTCAATTGACTTCCCGCTCATCTACGACCGTCACATCCGCCGCCACCACATAACAGAGCAAGACTGGCAAGAAACGAAGACGTACCTCGAACAACACACGTATATTGTACACTCCCTTTCGTAAGCTTCGTTGTATTCTCACCATGCTCATATTGACCTTTCATTAGGTTCTTTTACGATCCGGTCATGGCTACGCTCGACATTTATTCTCCCACGAGTTTGCACCAAATTGTGAACGACTCGATGGTGAACCGCTACACCGAATCGGTCCAAGTCAAACAGCATCAAGCTATATCGATAGACGGGGCTCGAGGACTCATAACCGACAACATAGGGCATACGCCCGACTCGGTGCTTTCGATATCCACCACTCGGCGCCTTCCAGACGGCGATCTGATCTACGTCGCGCGGGACACGGGTGTCACGGAGACATCGTTCACCCAGAGTGTCGATGACATGGTGGGCCAGGTACGTAGCTAATCAACTTCGTTCAATATTGCATCCTTGACATGCTCTGCAGATGGGTGTCTCCATGGGCGTTAGCGATCGACCGATCCCCTCCTATTCACCGGCATTAACATCGACACCGAAGACTTCATAGAGCCCGACGCTGAACATGCGGCCCCCGACTCTGGCGGATTCATCAAGGGGGGCGGCGCGGCGAACGACGTCATATCCACCGGCTGGAAGCGCGGGGACCGAGTGCTCATCAAGAGGGTAAAGGCACAGTGGTTTATGTTCTTACCGGAGGAACGTGAGGACGTGGCGCGATGTCTGAAAGAGTACCACAACGCGAGAGATTGGGTAGTATGGAAGTACGGCGTGGTGAGTGTCGGTCATTCCCTCTTGTACAATCGTCACTGAAGCTTTAGCAGCCCATCCAGCATCATTACGAAGCGGGTTCAGAGGCGTTCATAGCCCACGATCATGCGCTACGCAGGTACCGAGAGGCCATCATCAGAATTCGCGCAGTCGCGCACAACCAGCGAGTTCTAGCCATCCTTATGGAGGCAGAACAGACGCGGGACAAGAGCGTTTTGAATGAGCTGAAAGAATCCGACGTTGCGGACGACCTCACCTTCGATGATCCACCGATTCCTGATCCCATCCCGTCGTTTATTCGAGACATCCAGGTCGGCGTGCGACAGAAAGCTCAAGATGATTGGAGCAGGCACACCTACCGCGTGGAGACCAACAATGCGGCCACGCTCAACGACGCAGAGGAGCGTTCGCAGTATCGGCGGGTCATGGAGACCCTCAAGCGCGTGCTCGACGACGATGTGGCTGACGGGGATGAGCAAGCCCTCGCGGACTTCAGGAAGAGGCAGCGCTTCAACACGCCGTCGCCGCCGCCGCCTCCAAAGCCGCGGCAGCCTCCCCGATTGAAAGTTGAAGACTTCCCGGAGGAGGAGTTGTCGAGCTCTGAGCCCAGCGGCAGTGGCAGCTCTGCGAAGAGCTCGTTTGAGCAGCCGCGTGGCATGGCGGATGCTAATGAGTACGCCCTCGCAACTGGACGTACGCTGAGGAGTGAGGCTCGGCAGAGGCCAAGGTAATCATACATCACCGTTTGTCCATCGCATCACTATTTCGCATCTCGCATCGCTATTTCGCATCGCTATTTCGCTATCATCGCTATCGTTTTCGTGTCCATGTTTTCGTGTCCGTATACCAGCAGCGTCGTTTCTGAATGTATATACATTTATACTGCTATGCATCAGATCCGAGTCGTGTTGGATTGAATCACAGCCTCCACGCAGAACAGACATGGGCTAGACTTGTTGGGCGTCTCATGAAGTCGGTCTCATGCTCTCTGGTATCACTGCGTCTCAAGTTTGCTCTGCTCACCTCTAAACGCAATATGGCTGGTTCGAACGCTGTCAATCATTCCATCAATGCCATTGAGCAGTGTTGTTTAGTCCAGCTGCTCAACAACACTCCCAACCTAAATCAAGTTCTGAAGAACTTACTGGATCGATTACAAGACGTTGCAAATGTTCCCACTTCGGTTCAGACAGGTACAGACATAATTGCTTTTCGAAGAGCATCACTGATCAATATTCTTATTGTGCAGTGGACACTGGAACATCGGCAGTTGCAGATCAACGCCAGACACGTTCAGAAACTCGACGTCTGCGGAATCAAGTGTTGCCGGAAAACAATGCAGACAACGAGGCTGGTAAGCTCTGTGATTTCTGTATCGTTAGTCCTCTATTGAACACAAGTAGTTCAACAAATGTCCTCTCAGACCAGCGATACCTTAGGCCAGGGCACGGTGGGGCCAACCAGGCAGACGCGGTCATGCCAACGAAAGACACCGTATGCGCGTGAAGAGGGAAATCCTGCCGGGCGATCTTCTCAGCGGCGTAACGTCCTGCGCAGGCGTTCCCGCTCGCCATGCTGGCGTGGAGGGGTTCCTTTTTGTCTTCAGGGCGCCGCACCATCTCTGGTATGGGAATCCGATCAGCAAGCAGCACCGTCACAGTCTTCGAAGGCCACCGTTCACAAATTCTTCACGAACCTCACAAGCAACTTGACGGAGCAAGCGATTGTGGACTGTTGCGAGTCCATGCAACACGGCATTAGCAGTACAAACGCCAATGTTCCTCGTTTCGCCGGTGACGAGTCATTGAAAACACTTGCCAACGATGCACTCTCGCATTCAAAGACAAGGCAACCTCTGATATCGTCGTGATGATGAGGCTCATACAGCTGGCAGTCAGATGTAGCGAGTGGGTACAGGCCTACTAATCTCAGTGAATGACGCACTTACGTTCGAATTATTGCCATTTTCGCAAGCTTGCGACGAGCTGATCCGGACCTCACAAACACTGACATTTGGCGCACCGAGCTGCAAACAACGACCAGGGTTGCCAAGAGAACATTCCTAGATTGGATTTCTCAAGGCAGCAAGTTTGCCTTTGCGGCGGGAGGAGGTAAGCTATGCAGCGCTGTCATTTTGGACACATGCTCAACAACATCGACCAGGCTCAGTGTACATGCTCATCCTGATCGCCGTGCAGAACCTCAGAGTTCCTTTAGGAGCGGTGGATGGCCATTCAGCCCAGGAAATAGGCAATATGCTGCGATGGCCTGATGGTATGTTTACGTTCTGTTAATCATTCGGTACCAGCTCATCTGCAATGCAGACTCGCGAGCGGGACATCTAGTGAAGGAGATCATCATCCCTTCCATATCTAACTTGCACAGGCACTATCCAACCATGCTGGACGACCTTTTCCCTGTATCCACCGTCAGAATAGGAAGTCTTGAGGAGAATGACGCATATTTTGATGGTCTCAAATCCAAGTATGTGCCGTCTGCACTTGCAAGTTCAATGTATTCACTGGCTTTTGCAGCACGTTCAGCCTTGTTCCGAGGCTGAAGAGCGTGTGGCAGTCGTATGGCCAAGGCGTTTTGCGAGCTGCCTCTCCTATTCAGCAACCATCTCGACTGTCGCCACTATCACAGTCCCTGAATCCTCTATCTCTATCACCATTGACCCCAGTAATGACATTGTCGCAGCTATCGTCGCAGCTATCGTCACCGCTATCGTCGCAGCTATCGTCACCGCTATCATCGCCGCACTGGTTGCCTCATTCTTCGCCTCAGTCAACTTTCGAAGCGACGGCGCCGACGCCGCCTATCCCTGTCATCATCACGTCTTATGACCCTGAAAAGAAGAACAACCTACGATACCCGGCTCCTCGTGACAAAGCCCAAAACATTGCCTGGACAGAGACAGCTCGTTCATGGGCTCGTAAAGCAATCGTGCCCGTCAGTATTGAAGACCTTCAGTCTCAGGTAGAGTGTCGAATGTTATTCCACCGACATCAACTGATTCATGTACATTCAATAAAGCTTCAGGAAACGTACAAGGATGGGGAGAGAATTAGCCAAGATGCATTTGTTCGTGTTCCCATGAACCTCATATCGTGAGCATTGTTAGTCTCATTCATTCTGTGTACAAATGTGCATCCCCATTGCAGGGATGCTCTTAATATACGAGGGCGGGATAATGGATTGATCGCGAGTATCTGCACTTCAATGCCGGACGCCATGAAGCGGAACTTGATGGATGGACTTGTCGCCTGCTTCGATTCGGACCCATTCAAGCCAATCGACTCAAACTCTGCGAATGGAGAGAGAACGTTCGAGGCGATCCATTTTTCGTGGTACAATCGTCACTGTACATCGGTGTGTACATTAAATTTATATCCAGTCGTCGTGTTGTGCTCATCACAGAGTTCACTGCAGGGTCATTCTGCGCCTGCGGACATACCTCCTGCCTTGCTGAGCAGAGCGGGTTGTATGCGTACGAATCATGGTCAATTCGTACCGTACGTGTCTAAGGACATGGAAGACCACCAGGCAATTTACCAGTCCCTCAAGAATATATTTGCAGACGTCTTCAGTTGGATAGATGAAAAGGTGAGCATACACGTCAGTGATTCTCATGATGAGAGTGCCTAAGCCACATTGTTCTAGCTTCAAACAGTCTTACCGATGGAATATGAACGCCTCGAAGCTACCGCCTCAATTCTACCTGGTAATAATGTGTCAGTGGTTAATCCGTTCGTAGGCCTAGTGGTCAACTTGAACGTGGTCACCCGAGCACACAGAGACAGTAAGGACGACAGTGTTTGCCTCGTCTTGCCCATTGGAGATTTTTCAGGTGGTGAGTTATGCCTGTTCGAGGCGGGAATAGTCATTCCGCTTCGACATGGAGATCTAGTCGTTTTTCCATCCTGCAAACTCACCCATTTCAATTTACACTATACTGGATGTCGTTCCTCCATTGTTTTACACACAGACAGAGAGATGTCGAAGTGGACGGCTGATGATCGCAATGGCTGGGTTTCCAATGATCATTTCAGATAGAACGAACCGAACCTATTGACCATTATCATTGTAGTAGTACTACGTTAATGAAACCAAGTCTACGATGCTACATATTACAATCAAGTACAGGATAAGTAACGAAACCCGAAACACTTGAACAGCTCGAGAACTCTATCAGCTCGGCGCGACCAATATGGTCCCACGACTCTTCCAGAACCTCGAACAGTCCCATGCGTGCAGTCTCTATCATCGGAAGAATCTCGCCCTACCACGACCGCCGGCGGAAGCCTTCCCGAACCTCCCCAGCGGCGATTCGGACTTGGGAGTCTACTCACGCGGCGTGTTATCTGATGCATATCCTTGCTGGCTAACATTCACCCATCACTCGCTGTAATCGTTCAGTACTTCAACATGCCTCCTCGTCAGTCCGCACGCAACGCCGCACGCCAGTCAACAAGCCAGCAGACTGCGAAGCCCAAGGCTAGGAAGGCTGCGCCCAAGTCAACCACGACATCCAAAAAGTCAAGCGCCACGAAAGGCTTGAAGGAAGTCGCCACGGGCTCCAAACGTCCCAGGCAAGAGACACTGGTAGGGGATGGCAAGGCCTCTCAGGGCGACGTCCTGTCGCCTTCCGAGAAGAAGATGTACGACCTCCTGAGAGCAAAAATGGAGCAAGCGCAGAAGCAGGCGGTCGCAGACCGCAGGTCGAGTAAGCTTTTCACTCTCACTGTCAAACTAATTCGAACTTATTTCACGTATACGTAGACATACAGAAGACGAGTACAGCCATGGTGCTGGCGGAAGATGCGTCTCGCGGAGATGCAGAGGAGGACAGCGAGGAGGAAGAAGGAGCGGCAGACGGCGTGGAAGACGGCGTGGAAGACGACGTGGAAGACGACGTGGAAGGCGGCGGCGCGGAAGGCGGCGCGGAAGACAGCGCGAACCAGGAGGATGACGACGAGCAGCCGAGACGCAAGAAGCTGAAGAAGAGCATCGTGATCAATAGCAGCGACGACGAAGACCGTGACCAGCTTATCGAGGAGGACGGGGAGGTGGAGGCGAAGATAGTCGAGCCAGATGAACGCCCTCCGCGCGGTGAGTGCTATCAAATGGTTATAGCTATGCAACTGATATAGGTTGATTGCAAGCTAAACCTAAACCCAAGCCTGCGTACGGCAAGAGAAAGACGAGGGACGTTGAGAGTGACCACGAAGACAGGACCATGAACGATACTCAGCCTATGCTCGACCAAGACGAGCTGAGCCTGGCTGGGACTCTAGGTACGCCGGTCTATCATTAACTCATATACTAATCTGTTTTTGGTTTTATAGGTGCTGGATCGGCAGCTGCACAGGACAAGGAAACTAGGAAGTCAACGCGCGCGTCGAAGAAGATCCCTGATGACGGTCGCACCGCTCTCACGCAGCCTGCCAAAAGCAAGAAGGTCTGGCGTATGGACGCGGTTGTCATTGATTCGCCTCCAAGGAAGATAAGTAATATTCTCATCTCATTTGTTCATCTTGATCTGACGTAGAATGAGCACAAGGTGGTCGACAGGAAGAAGGACAAGGGCAAGGCGATCGACCAGAAGAAGAAGGCGATCGACTGGCTGGACAGCGACACCGGTTCGGAGAGTGAGATGGGGAGGGAGGATGACGACGATGATGATGATGACGATGCCGCAAGCTACGAGTCGGGCAGTGACGGCGACCAGGAGGAAGGCAGTGAGGGCAAAGAGATGGAAAATGACAGTGATGATGAAGTGATCGTAAGTCACCGTCCCACGTTTACTACTTGAAAATACCACGATTTGCAGGTTGTCAAGGCTCCGAAGCACAAGAGCCAGCGTTCCAAAGGCAAGGGGGGTCGTCGTGGTCGCGGCAACTCGAACGAAGGGAAGTCCGTAGGACGACGCCGCCGAGCACAAGCCAGAGATCTGCCCGAGACCGTCAAGCCCATCGTCACCTGCTCACAGATGTACCTCCGACTCCGCCTCTCTCTAGAACACGCATGGACGTCCGAGAAAATGCAGAACAGTAGCCAGCTGCCCGTCAAACACACGCTCATCAAGCGTGCAATAAGGGATGCTCGAGCTCATCGCGCCGAAAATGGGAAGAAGATATCATACCTCTCGAGTGGCTTCAAGGTTCTGGGCGCCCGAGGAACCAACCGTCTTCGCGGCGATGTCGCCAACGTGGTAAGCACATTGATTCATTGTTTTGATCAATTCATAGCAGCTGTGTCTGGCGGTGTAGGTGTGGACGGGCGCATGTCAGCTCCGTAACGAGGTCAAGAAGAAGGCGACGACCGTGGTTGAGAATGCCTATGCCCTCGGCGGCCTCTCGACACAGCGCAGAGTTGCCGCGGCAACGTTCCTTCTCAAATGCAACATGCAGGGGAAGTTCTCACTGCCGAACTTCATCTTTGGTGACATCGACATTGCCTGGCAGGCGAACGACGCTTATGAGGTCGACACAAAGGTAAGCGAATCAAATATAAGGGCTCATGTACGTTCTTGATGGCACACAGGCGAGCTTTGTGAATCGCAAGAAACCCTTCCACCACAGAGCGATCTCCGACGTCATGGTTCAGCATTGGTTCCATGGCTCCAGGGATTCTGCCTCTGTAGCGGCTTACGACCGGTTTGCCGAGGTTCCTAACAACCTCATTGCTCTCGTCTGCAATGCGGTAAGCACTCTGCAACTAAACAAGTGATTTATGCTGATCAATATAGCTTGAGGCCGCGTTGGTAGACATAGTGACTGGGAAGCATCACTTCACAAACAAGACGTATGCGCCCAAGCGAGTGTTTTATCACTGCTATCTAGGCATGACTTATTGCTGACATATTGATAGGTGGGCCAATATCATGGGCGTACTAGATCAATTCGAGCGGAATGCCCCGGAGGCTTATGAGTCCATGAAGACGTTAATCTGGACTAACATCAGGTAAGTTGCCTACCATGGCTGTCAGTCGATCAGGGTTTATTGTCAATGCAGCGCACTGGTCGATGAACAGAAGGCCTCGAAGTTGAAGGATGAGGCAGACGAAGGTGACGGTAATAGCGGTGCAGAAGAACAGTTCATATCCTGGAGTGACGTCGAGGTCGTCGAGGTTACCCCTAGCAACGCAGCAGCGTCTGTGAAGAAGCCGTCCGCGTCGAAGCCGTCCGCGTCGAAGCCGTCCGCGTCGAAGCCGTCTGCGTCGAAGCCGTCCACGTCGAAGCCGTCCGCGTCGAACGAATCCGCGTCGAACGAATCCGCGTCGAACCCGTCTGCGTCGAACCCGTCTGCGTCGAACCCGTCTGCGTCGAACCCGTCTGCGTCGAACCCGTCTGCGTCGAACCCGTCTGCGTCGAACCCGTCCGCGTCGAACCCGTCCGCGTCGACGTCGTCCGGTTTGAAGCCATCTGCGTCAAAGCCTCCATCGTCGAAGCCTCCATCGTCGAAGCCGTCCGGGTCGAAGCTGTCTCGGACCGGGTCCAAGCCGTCGTTCTCGAAGCAGCTGTCGTCGAAGCCGTCTCCATTGGCTGGGAAACCCGGAGGTAAGTTGATCTGTTCACCTTAACTACACATTTTAACACGGTATGTATGAACGTTCAGCTGAACAGGAAACTGCTGAGCTTGACCCACAAGACTTGTCGGCTGAAAACGATGACGATGGTGAGCTGATTTTATTTTATATTATTTATATACTTGGACACTGACCAAAGCCGTGTATGCGTTCTACTTACCACTCCAGAAGAAGTACAGTAGGTGATGTGAACAACCACTAAGATCTCATGCACATTGCGTGAGTATTGTCTCATCATTTTCCAGACAATTTTTCTCGACCTCATATTTCAACAGAATCACACAACTACCATCTACTTCAACACTTGGAGGAATCTGAGGTTGGCTACGGCTTCTTCTGTTCTGTTCTCGGCGTCTCCGGGTCTCCGACGCCATTGCTTTGTAGTTGCTTTGTACGCTTTCGTTTTCACACTGTGTGTATGTGTACGATAGTTGGTGATCCGTGTCTCTGGTTATGTGTTTGGTAATGCAATGCATAGCCAAGCGATTATCTGGAATACCAACCAATGAGTGAATTAGTCAAACCAAGCAACAAGAATACTTGAAAGGCTTGGGTAGACGGACGGAACTTGAAAAGACCATCAAGAATTGAGTCAGCCAGTTGCTTGAATACAAGAAGAGCATGCAACCAGTATCAGAACAATGTTGATTTCTGCTTGGTCACGCAGCTCAAGCATTTGACTTACCTTGCCCAAGACCTATTGACTATGCAAGTCTTGCAGTGCTTGTCAGGCTTGGCAAGCCATGTGAGTTTTTCCTGATGGCACTCTTCAAAGATGGGATACCAACTCAAGTGATGGCAATTGCGGCCACGGCCGTGATCTGCTGCACAGACAAATTCTACAAGGCTGGTACGATAGATGCAAAGAAGAACTTCAGTGCTGACGTCTACGAGCGCAACACCCTTCAAATTGCCACTTATGTTGATTACCTCAAGGCCGCAAACACTGATGTGGGCGCCTGATTCAGGCAGCTGAACACAAATATTGTTCATGCAGGGAAGTGAGTGGATTTCTCATATATTATCTCAGTTTTTGTTTTACCCATGTTCCCAGGCTGTGGGCAATCACCCCAGGATTTTGATATTTTAAAATTTAAATTAATCCCTCATAACTCACCATGGCTATATAAGCCAGGCCATCCAGGTGAGGATGACCACACCACCATGTTGAAGCTTGATGACAGGTGCTGGGCCTCTAGGGCCTCTGAGGATGCAGGCAGAGCTCCACACCCAATATGCCCCAGAATTCAGGCTTCAATCTGAAACCTGGCCCAAATGGTGTGCTGGTATGTGACTCTGAGTTGTTGTGTGCCGCTGTTATGGATCTGTGTCTTACTCAGTTGATTTCCAAGTTGATACCAATATTACTGAGATACTACCAAGCAATAGTACTGATTTTTATTGATAGTAACAAACAGTGAATAACTCGGAAATGTTGGAAGGGGGTTTCGGAGTATGGAGAGCCTCTAGTTCAACTAGAACTCAAGGAAAAAGGGAGCAGTAGTTGTGACTAGAGATCACAATAACAACAATCAAGTAGGGAATTTCCACCAGTGCTGTTGTACAAGTACTCAGTACCAGCCCTTAATTGGAGAGAACCTCTGATCTCAATAAAGATGTCCTTCAATTGAGGGGATGGTGCTTGCACTGCTACAATACAGTTATGGTTGTATTGCTTAGTGCACACCGTAGACAGTCCACCTCATTGAACTCTAAGTTGCTAACACTTTACAGAGCTCGACTTAGGCCTTTGGAAATTGCTCTGAGGCACACTGCAGCCAACAATTACTGGTTTGTACTGATAGTAACAAAGAGCAAATCACTTGGAAATGTTGCAAAGAAGTAAGGAGAGCCTCTAAGCTCAACTAGAACTCAAGCAGGGGGAATCTGGGGGGTTGACTACAGTAACCACTACTCAGTAGGGACTTGCTGTCAGTGCTGTTGTACAAGTATTAGTCCTTGATAAGAGAGAAATTCTGATACAGAACAATGTCTTTCAATAAATTGTTAACAGTACTTCACCAAGTACAAACTAATCAACAGTGGAGGATGAAACAATTATACAGAGTATACCAGCACAGAATGCTGAGAAAAGGCCTTTACAGAATTGATGTGTTTTACAAGGAATACAACCAAACTGGACAGTCTTTGGTTGTATTCCTTGTATAACATGACAATTCTGGAAGGGCCTTTTTTCAGAATTTCTTACTGGTATACTTCTCTGTCTACTGTTGATTGGTTTGTACTTGGGGAAGTACTGTTAACAATCTATTGAAAGACATCCTTCTGTATCAGAAGTTCTCTCTGATCAAGGGCTAATACTTGTACAACAGCAAGTCCCAGCTGAGTAGTTGTTACTGTAGTCAACCTCCCAGATTCCCCTTCCTTGAGTTCTAGTTGATCTAGAGGCATACTTCTTTGCAACATTTCCAAGATATTTTCTCTTTGTTGATATCAACATAGACCAGTAATACTATTCATTAGTATTCTGGTAATATTGGTGATTAACTTGGCAATTCACCAAGTAAGAAACAGATTCATGATGTCTGTGTTCTCAACAGAGAGTCTCATATGAACATGCAATAAGTTACTCAATTGGGATGTTACTCATGATTGCAAACTATGATCCTCATATTAGAACAACCTAATAAATAAGCAGGCTACTCTGAATTACGATCCCTGAGGTACGAAGGTATCGTTCTTATGATGGACCACCATGAAACGCCTTAGTGATTCCTCCGGAATGGCAGTTTGTTCCCACAGTGCACGTGACTTGCAGCCACCCTGATAAGCAGAGATAAGTAACTGTTAGTATGGGTTGCTTATCTGAGCCTGAATTTTCAGACTCCCAGACGACGCGACTTGCACCAACAGATACAAACAAATGCAGTGGCTAAGCGCTCAGTTATGGATATGAGGCCCATGAAACGCCTTAGCAGTTCCCCCAATAAGGAAATTGGTAAACATATCATGTGACTGGCAGCTTGGTGGGTCATTGCTCCAAGCGCTCACACACTGTAGGGCCTATATAGCTCAGCCAGTAACAAATCATAGTATACATAGTATGCTCATCTGATAGCCCTTCATTCAGAGAGTATACAGAAATTCTATTCAGTGTATACAGTGGCTGGCTAACCCAGGAAATGCAAAGCAAAAAAATGCACATGTGCCTCTGCAGATTCAATCTGCTTGTTTATGACTCAAATATGATCTATATGTACACTGCAATGTATATGTGTAGTTCAGACACTGTGGACTACTCAGTAGCTTCAATAATACAGGTAACAAGGACTATAATGGGTAATCTGAGCATCTTTTGCCATCTTATGGCCCTTGCATACAATGTAATGGTAACCATTGCAGCTCAAGGCAATCATACACTTGTCTTTGATGTGTCTGTATATTTCATAGATTTTCTGCATTTTTCTGAGCCCTACATGCCCCTGTTTGTGTATGATTCCTCTTTGGGAAGGTCACATACTCCATATGGTAATTATGCATCCACTGCTGGCTTTGTCTTGCTCACAGAATCTGGATGCTTTGTTAGCCCTGGCATACCACAAGATTTGGCAATCTCTTACCACCCCATGCCCTGCTCTCGTTTGGGGAGATGGGACTGTACAGACCTCTAATGAATGTTGCAGACCTGGACTGCATCACTTGCAATGTCTTCGCGCTTTCTATGAGCCGATGAAGAGCGCAGACATCGAGGGCTATGGAGTGGTAGGCATTTGGTTTGCTCTTGTTCTCGAGAGGTTGCAGCACCTTGGCCAGCACAAAATGGTCCCTGATGGCTCTTCTGGATGTCCTATGATCCTGCAGATCAAACCGGTTAGTCGTGACAACACCAAGTGATCTAGTATGGGCTCACATTTCGAAGGTAGAAATCGAATGTTAGGATGAAGTGTACCAATACCCACAGCAACATGTGTCTGTGGTTAACGCACTGGCCCTTCACATTATTGAGGGCCTTTGTATAGCCCAAGGACGCCCGGACATCCGGTATGGAGAGCCCAGTGAGCTCCTCGTTGATGGTAGGGCAGCAACAGGCGAACCACCATGCCAAGAGATTCTTGACATAGCGCCAACTCTGGAGCACACTGTGACCCACCCCAGCGGTCTCCTCCAGCAGGACACCGTTAATTGCGAGGATTTTGTCCTCTGTCGGGGTGTTGAGGATAGGGCTGATTGCCGCCTTCAACTGTGCCCCTGAGCGGGCTGGTGGCAGGGCGTTGACTGGAGCAGGGGGGGGAGCAGGAAGGCCCAGGGGCGCAGGAAGGGGCACAGGAGGTGGGATAGCTACCAGAGCCGTTCTAGAGACAGCGACGTCAGGGACTGCATTGGTGGTGTTGATGGCTGTGTTGGTGGCCGCCACCACCATCGCCTGGGCTCCCACCAGGGTGATCGATACGATGACTCAATGCATTCCGACGGGTGGAGTGATGTCCAGTACCCTCGACAGGTAAGCTGTATATACGCATCAATAGCCCGCCGAGCAGTAGGAAATGACCTAGACCGGTTCTTTTCAGAATGTCTGCCTGCCAAAGACATTTGTGGTAGTAGTGGTACTCATATGGATATGGAAGTATTTGGAGGTCATGCCCGGGCCTGGACCCCTTCTTTCCAGGCCGATGTCAGGCTCTGCACACCAAAAGGCATCGTGAAGTCTCTCACCAATTGCTTCTCGAGTAAGGAGGCCGCCAGGGTACGGAGCTTCCCTCTTCCTCTTCACTGCCTGGAGCTGACTTGCAGGAACAGGACCCGAGAGCCATGTCTCTAGGCTCAATGTCACTTATGAATGGAATCATATACGGCAAGCTAATCTCTCGATGTCACTCGTTGTGGGATGTCCGCCTCCTGCCAACCGCTCCGTCTCCTGCTTTTTGCAGTGTTGATCCCACCTGAAGTCCCATTATCTGTGCACTCTGACACGAGAAGACCAGAATCTCAGCATTGCAAGCGCGGAGTTCCCTAGTAGATGTAATCAACAGTCTAGAATGGTGTACATAATGGCGACGAAGACATAACCATGCAGGTAGATTCAACGCCAGAGACAGCCAAAGGAAAGTTACCTGCCTATAGTTACCGTACATGCTCTTCTCGCACGGCTCTGCTGCAGCGCATCCTGGTGTCCGCCTCAGCGGAAGCGAACACATGATTCTGGAACTTTGAGTTGTGTGTGAGAGACATCAGGAAAAACCGGTTTTACTTGCCAAGCTACAAGGCAAGTCAAAAGGACTTGGCTTACTTGGCAAAGATGCTCACCACTTGAAATGTGCTGCAAAGGCAGCGTTGATCCTGAAACACTTGGTCAAACTGTGGCCGGCTTGATCAAGCATTCTGTCAAGAGTTTATTGGCTGACTGGCAAGCAAAATTTGGCCAGTCAATTTTCTTTAATCTCTGAAGTGTTTCATTGAATCATTCATAGATGGTTGAGTTTCTATTTGCACGCTTAAAGTACAAGCTATCTATGGCCGTAAACATGGTACTTCTACTAGTAGTATGAGTTTACTCTCTGTGAACTCAGGGTTTTCATGTCCAGAACCAGTGGAACTGGCGAGGACTCGTCTGGACGTATATCATTCAAGTTGACTCAGAGGCTGTCCAACACTCTACCTCCCAAGCAGTCCAGAGCGCTCACCGCATCCACACTCTGTGCGCCCGTCGACGCGTGCAGTCTGTTCAGTATCCGTACACCCGTGATGCCCAACATCCATCCACATTGCAGCGGGTTGGTCGTAACAGCACGTGAGTTTGGCCAGGCAACCGCTAGCCCTGCAGGTGAGTACGGCAGCCGCCTATCTCTGCGTAATTGGCTCAGCAAATTCACGTTCGCAGGGAAACAGACGTACATGATCCCGGTGATGTGAGGTTCAGCGCCGGTGACGTCGGCAAGTATGTAGGTGAAGTTGGTCCATGGGCTTGGTCGTAGAATGGTGACGTTGCATAAGGCAAGGTGCGCACACCACCATATGGCAACGGTGGGACATACGGAGATGTTGGCGAATACTTGAGTCCTGGCCCTTAGCCTTCTTCGTCGCCGAGGTGCGGTCAGTCGAGATGGCATCGGATATTGACGGTGAGCCCTCGACCAGCCCGTTTGCTTCTGCATCGGCAGCAGCACGACGGTGGCAACGGACTCTTGCTCAATGGTGTGGGGTGTCCTGTGAGTGCTGTGTGAGGCGATGCGGATGTTCGCGTTGACAAAACCTGGTGGCGTCGACAGTGATGCAGACAATGCCGGGCTCGTCGAAGTCGAGTAAGACTGCTCGGGTGTGTCGGGGCTCGTGGGCGGACTCGGATACGCCATGCTGGTGTTGACAGGCATGGGGTGGGCTTCGGTGGCGACCGGACGCGCGGCGAAGCCCGGGGTGGTGGTCGACGTGGCGCCGTATGGCATCGTCCACGGTACTGGTGTCGGCGCAGGCGACGGGAGCATGTACGTTGGGTATGGCCTGTGGCCCTTGAAGTCCGTCCAAACATTCGCCTCGAACTCTTTCAGCACTGCTGGCTCGATGTTGAGTTGCCACTCGAGGTACGAACACATCTCTCGCACCATTCAGCCATCACATCCTCCTCCTCGTCCTGCACGCCTTCGAATCCAGCCTCAGTCGATTCCTTCCCACCATCAACAACACCCACTTCCCTGGTGCGATGGGCATCCACGACCGTGACAGAGCAACCCCGCACGGCCTCGCCGCATATGTTCTTGAAGGACATGACATTGCCCGTGCTCTCGATGAACTTGCGCTGCGTGAAGCTCCACCAGAGCGTGTAGAGCGTTGGCTGGCGGTGTCCGCATCAGACCACGAGTGAACGGGCTCGCACGAGGCGACTCACCATCAAGTAGTAGTAGTATTAGTCCCCGAGCAGGGTCCGCGGGTTCACGGGAATGTAAGCGGGTCCACTGGCAAGTGGGCATGCAGGCGAGTGAGCGATCACGTGGGCAATCACACAAATGAGTGTGTGGCCGGCCTGTCGAACAGATGAGAGTGCAGCCAAGAAGGTGCATGTGAGGGTGTGGGCGAGAGGGGCTCATCGGTGCGAGTGAGCTGGAATACCCATGTCATCTATGATGACAAGGTCTTGCAGTTAAAGTGAGCAGGGCTCTAAGCCAGAGGAACAGCGAGCGAGAGGTACAGCAGGCGCGCGGACGAGACAGCAAGCGGGTGAGACGCCGGGCAGACAGCACAAGAACAACACAAAGAGTCAGCGAGACATTAGGTGAGAGAGACGGTGGGCGGGACAGTGAGAAGGCAAGCGGAACGGCGGGCAGATAGTAGGTGTACGAGATGGTGAGCAAGAGGGACAGTGAGATGGCGGGTGGGACAGCGAGATGGCCAGTGAAAGTCGACCTACACATACCCAACGAGGGACACCCGCACCGACTTCTCCTGAAGATGGCGGGTGAGCGAGGTGGCGAGCGGGATGATGGGCAGGCGGTAGGCGTATGAGATGAGTGAGCAAGCGAGAGGGATAGTGCGCGGGACAGTGAGATGGCAGGCAAGTGAGATGGTTGCATACGCCCTTGCTTTGATCTCGGCAATGACCTGGGTGGTCATTGACTCTTTGTTCAGAGTCACAGGAGTTGCCAGACCAGATGCTGGACGACCATCCGACGGTGTGAATAGACGTCCTCCAATGGACAAGATGGACGTACCAGTGGCTCGTACAGGCGACGAGGGCGGAGACGTGTCCATCAGGACAGATGGTGCCAGCTCTGTGTGACAGGGAGGTCGGCGATGACCACAATGTGTAAGGACGAGGTGGCGAAGCTCGGGATGTGAAGGCAAGAACAGGTGTGTGGGCACTAGACGGCGGGCTGGCATGAGATGGCGGGCTGGCGCGAGAGAGTGGGCGGCGAGAGGGCAAGCACGAGACGGCGGGTGTGTGGGCACTAGACGGCAGGTACTAGATGATAGGGTTGCGTGAGAGAGCAAGCGGACTGGCTGGTGCAAGAGCCACACGAGCAAGAGGGCGCGGGCAAGAAGGACAGCGAGTGCACGGGCGAGACGGTACGTGAGCGAGACGACGGGCGGGCAAGGCTGTGGGCAAGCGAGAGGGCGGGTGAGCAAGATAGCAGGCGGACAATAGGAGTACGAGATGGAGGGCGAGAGGGATGGCAGGCGGGACTGCGAGATGACGCGCCTGCGAGATGGTGGACCTGCGACATGGCGAACCTGCGAGATCATGGCGACGCACACCTGGTAGTCTGCTCGTTTGTCTGCCCGGCTGCCCGTTCATCAGGCGCGTCCGCAGGACATTGTCCCCGTGCACTTGCGGTCATTGTACGCGTCGTGCAGCAGACTGGTGCTGCACGTCGCTGCAACCTCTGCATGCTATTAGTGTACTTGCCCACCCGTGTTAGCACTCACCCGGCTCGCCTTTCACTTGGGTGTCAGATGTCCGTTCGTCGGCTGCGAAGTGGCACGTTTGGGCTTGTCATATTGGGGCGGTGGATGGTACGAGCGCATGGTGGTTGTTGTCCAAATGCAGCACTTCCTGGGCCCATCCCGGCGGTTGCGCAAGTGGATAAACAGAGGTGGCACGGGTCGTTACCGGGCATGTGGTAATTCCGCAGAGCACACTGTCCTCATGAATGGTTCCGAGAGCGGTCGAGGAGCATAGGCACAAAGAGGGCAACAGAGGCACAGGCGAGTGGACGCATGATGAGGACGTAGACTCGTCGAGCAAGGACAGGGGCATGTCCCCTGATCGTCCCTTCGCCGTGGCTCGTCCATGCGCTAGTCAGAGCGTCCTCCGGGGATTTCGCTGTGCGCATTGACGTGTCCTGCAGAATGGGTCAGTGGGTGCGAGACGCACTGTCTGTCTGCACATCTTGCGTGGCCTCATCTGCGCTTACCAGGAGACCAATCCGTTGGGCTTAGGCATACGTACGAGGGTGCACGTGAAGGAGCACAAACGAACATGTAGAATCTGGACGTACTCAATGTTATGAAATCCTATGCTTCACTCACTGGCTAGGCAACCGTCCCCGCCTGCAACTCGTCGGCCTCCCTGCAACAGGATGAGCCGACCACCGACTGTCCCCTTTTCCCTCCGTCTCGGCTGCCCTCTGTCCCGCCTTCCCTCGGGTTCTCAACTGCATGTTGTGCTTCGAGTCCGTTGCCTGGTGCGTGGTTTCTTTCTTGCGCCGTTTGCTGGTACCGGGGACCACGACTTCTGCCGGAGCGGCCCGTGTCACAGCTGTAGACTGTCGATTATTTGAAAAGAGTCCATGATGATAATAAAATTGAAGGGACTTACTTTGGGCACCGTGCTGCTAGGTGCGCTCTCATCTTCGCTGTCCGAGGAGACCAATGTTACGCGAAGCTAGGCGAGTGGAACACTACAAGCCACAAGCTTGCAAGGCTCAGTGATGTCATTTAAATGGGATTAATATTGAATCACTAATGTATTTTAGATCAACTTAAACCCCATACACTTTTAACCTGATCCTGGGCTAAGCTGTTGCTTAGCCAATAGATTAGCCAAGTAGGATCAGTAGAGCTAATCCACACATGTTAAGCCATAGATTAGCCATAGTTAGTCCATATCTAATCCCATTGTGATCCATTGGTTAGACTTGCTGAGATGCTGCTTAGCCATTGGATTACCCTTGGCTAAGTAATATCCGAGCCATGTCTTAACCATAGATTAGCCATGCTTAGCTATGACTTAGGCAAGAGATTGACAAGTAAATCAGTCTAAAAAAAGTTGGTAGACTTTCAAATCCACTGCTAAGCCACTGCTTAGCTACTGGATTAGCTTTGCGAAGATCACCAATTGCTGATCATGGTTCACTTAACTGGAGATAAGACAGTGCTTAGCCACTTGCTAAGCTGTGTCTAATCCACTGGGTTAGATAGTGGCTTAAATGGCCCAAAAATGCGGACACAAGCCTGGTTTGAACTCCTGACCCTGGACACTATTACATAATCACATCATCTAGTTACTTACCTGACACACTTACCACTGCACCACTGGGCCTTTCTACACTGCAAAACCGAATGACCCATATCACATTCTCAGACTACTGGACTTAGGCATTTCACAACACTCTGCCATACGATGCCCCCTTAGTCCGACTTTTTGTGAATTAGGACATACTTTATTCTGGTTAATCTGCAGATTGACATTGTATTAGCTTAATCTTTCAGATTCAGCCACTTTCCATATCAAACAAATTATATTGATCCTTTATTGATCCACTCCTGATCAGTTTTGCTGATCTAATCCAATTCAATCCTAATCTGATCAGTTCATAAAACCACTTCTGAGCAAACCTGCTAATCAGACAAGATTAACCAGAATAAAGTATGTCCTAATTCACAAAAAGTCGGACTAAGGGGGCATCGTATGGCAGAGTGTTGTGAAATGCCTAAGTCCAGTAGTCTGAGAATGTGATATGGGTCATTCGGTTTTGCAGTGTAGAAAGGCCAGTGGTGCAGTGGTAAGTGTGTCAGGTAAGTAACTAGATGATGTGATTATGTAATAGTGTCCAGGGT